TATATACAGACTATTCCTGTGCTATAATTGTAATTAAAATTTTATCTCCATTCTTTTTTACTGATATTTAAACAATTAATGCAAGAGTTTGAATCCTTTTTTAAATCAATCTTTTTATAACAGTACTTTATTCCTGTATTCTGGAATTAGGAAATATAGTCTTTAGGGCACGTCTTCACATGCACTGTAATGCACATTAGCCTACTTTAATGCACATTAAAGTGTCACCAAAAAAGTGCTCTTTAGTTAATGTGCATTAAAACAGTCTAACATGCATTAAAGCATCACTAAAAACCATAAGGGCATTGATATACATATCTTCTGTCCCGTGATGTGCCAGATATCCACTGTGTTGATGCAGACTGAGCCATGTACAGTTGTATTAGTGGCGAAATACATGTCAGCACGCAGAAAATGGCAGTAGTGCGATTTTGAACTAAAACACCTCTGAAGTGTTTTAGTTCAAGAGTGCACTGTCACCATTTTCATTCAAGAAACAGGTAGTAAACTTTATGCATCTTTTTGCAACCTTCACAATGTAGCTTTACACTCAGAGGTATTTTAGTTCAAAAGCACACCACTGCCATTTTTTGTGTGCTGATGTGTGTTTTGCCACTTATACAACTGCAAGTGTAGCAGTAACCCTGAGACCCCCAGCATCCTCCAGAGATGGCTCTTTGGAGTCAGAACTGTTAGCTTATGGGGTTGATTGAATGAGGCAATCCTGGTAGATTGGCCAGCTACTGCTCATTAGCACCTTGTTAAGCTTACGTGAATGGTTCAGTCTCCCCCTACCAGAGATGTAGGGTGATAAAGCATGGCTGTAGAGCCAGCTAGCTGCACCTGGTGGTAACAATTACTAATTTCCCCTTAGAAAGTCCTGGTTAAATACACATGCAATTAAGGTGAATTAGGTATGTTGACACCTCATTCACCAACCAGAGGTAATGCTCTCCTAGACTTGGTCCTGGCCAAAGGAGACAACCTGGTGACTGACTTAAAAATAGAAGGTAGCCTGGGTGACAGTGACCATGAAACCATCACGTTCACTGTCAGTCACAAGGCAGACAAATCTGATAGCAGGGTTGAAGTCTTGGACTTCAAAAATGCAAATTTCAACAAGCTTAGGTCACTAGTAGGTCAAGTGCTATGGGGCCAGGGACTGAAGGCAAAAGATGTGCATGAAAATAGGTTGCTCCTTAAAGACATGATACTAGAAGCACAAAGGAAGTCCATTCCCACATGGAGAAAGGGCAGCAGAAGGGCTGAGAAGCCCTCCTGGCTAAACGGGCAAATCACGGTCCTCCTTAGAAAGAAGAAAGAGGCATACAAACAATGGAAGCTGGGGACAGGCCTCAAGGAGGACTATACAACAATGACCCACACTTGTATGGTCTGCTAAGGCAGAGACTAAACTTAGATTAGCAATGGGAATCAAGGACAAAAAAAGTTCTTCTTTGGATACGTGGGGAACAAGAGGAAAGCAAATGGGTGTGTGAGGCCACTGCTCAACAACCCGGGACAGCTGGTTACCAAGAGAAAACTGAACTCCTGAATGACTACTTTGCCTTTGTGTTTCACCAGGCCATGGGAAAAATCTTGCTGGATAGGGTACAGAATGAGCAGGGTAGAAATGACTGCCTCCCTACTGTTGCCATAGAACTGGTGTGGGATCAGTTAAAGAAACTAGACACATATAAGTCAGCAGGACTGGATGAACTCCATCCAAGGGTGCTGACGGAGCTGGCTGATGTCATCTCAGAGCCTCTGGTGAAACTGTTCCAAAACGTGGTGCTCTGGAGAGGTCCCTGAAGACTGGATGAGGACAAATGTTGTGCCCATTTTCAAGAGGGCAGGAGGGAGGACCTGGGTAACTATAGGCCAATTAACTTAACTTCTATCCCAGGGAAAATCCTGGAAAAATTCATTAAGAAGCCTATGTGCAATAGGCTTGCAGAAGGTAGGATTCTGAATGACAGCCAACATGGCTTCATCACGAGCAGGTCTTGTCTAACCAACCTCATCTCCTTTTACGATCAGGTGACTCATCACCTGCATAAGGGAAAAGTGGTGGATATTGTATACCTTGGCTTCCAAAAAGCCTTTGATCTGGTATCCCATGATGTTCTTGTGAGAAAATTGAACTGCGAGACAGTTAGTTGGGTATGAAGCTGGCTGCGAGGTAGGACCCAGAGAGTCCTAATGAATGGGTCTGTGTCATCTTCATTCATCTTCATCTGTGGCAAGAAGTGGGCAGCGGTGTCCCACAGGGGTTGGTGCTTGGTCCTGTATTTTTCAACATCTTCATCAGTGATTTGGATGAGGGGATGAAGAGCTCACTGGCCAAGTTCACAGATGACACCAAGTTATGGGGCAGTGTGGTACGCTTGAAGATAGGCTACAGATACAGGTGGATCTAGACAGGCTAGCAAGTTGGGCGAGTCAGAACCAGATGAAGTTCAATGTCAAGAAGTGTAAAGTGCTCCACCTGGGGATGAACAACCCCCTGCACACCTAAAGGGTTGGCAACACCAGCCTGACCAGCACTATGGAGACCTGGGGGTAATAATAGACCACAGCATGAATATAAGCCGGCAATGTGACGCTGTTGCCAGCAAGGCAAATAATACTCTGGCATACATCAATCAGTGCGTCTCCAGCAAGACCAAGGAGGTGATTCTTCCACTCTACTTGGCACAGGTGAGAGCCCAACTGGAGTACTGCATCCAGTTTGGGGTGCTACACTTTAACAAGGACGTGGTAAAGCTTGAGAGTCCAGAGAAGGGCACCTGTATGATTAGCGGCTTGCACGGCAACCCATACAAGGAAAGGTTGAGCAACCTGGGACGACTCAGACTGAAAAAGAGAAGGCTCAGAGGGGACTTGGTTTACTGCTACATCGGGGGAGTACATCAGGGGCTCAGTGAACAACTGTTCACCAGGGCACCCTTGGGGAAAACCAGGAGTAATGGCCACAAGTTGCTGGAAGACTTTTTTAGGTTCATCATTAAGAAAAACTTCTTCACAGTTAGGGTGTCCAGACTGTGGAATAAGCTCCCTTCAGAGGTGGTGCAATCACCTACCCTGGAAATCTTCAAGAGGAGACTGGATAATTATCTTGCTGGGGTCACCTGACTCCACCTGTCTTTTCTGCCTGGTGCAGGGGGCTGGACCCGATGATCATCCGAGGTCCCTTTCAGCTTTACAATGTATGAATCTTTGACACGCACTACCCTAGTTTGCCTTACATTTAAGTTTTAATTAAGGCAATTTTTGCCACTTTAAAAGTGCATTAAAGTCAGTCGTGTATTAATTGATGACTTTAGTTTGCTTTAAATGGCAACAATCATCATGTTCTTTAGTTAATGTGCATTAAGATAGACTAATGTGCATTTTCCTAGTACTTCACAATGTAGGTACTAGATTTAATGTGCATTAACTAAAACACCTTCATGCATATGTAGATGTGCTCTAAGTGTGTAGGATTTGAGGCTTAAAGCTACATTGTGAAGGCTCCAAAAGATGCACAAAGTTTACTACCTGTTTCTTGAATGAGGGTCTGGTTGTCATTCACTTGTAATTTCATTAGTTGGCAATGTTAGAGAGAGAGAGAGAGAGAGAGAAACAGTTATCTCTTATCCCATCAGCTGTTTCCAAGCAAAAGACCCTGCAAGCTCCATATTCATATGAGGTTCATTGTGACTAATACAAACTGATAGTCCTTGCAATGTCATGTCAAAAGCCTGGAGGCAGTTAGAGTCCTGTTGTTTCAAGGGAGTGTGTGCAAAGCAACATGGGTCATGAAGGTCTGTTAATATTTTGTTGCATGAAGGGTATATGTATGCTGGAATTAATGTGTGTAGAAACACTGTGAGAGTGCCTATGTGTATTTTAAAACATGTAGTTCATGACTGAAACTAATAATTGCTTTTTTACTTTGTTGAACTTGTTTAAAGCAGTTAAATAACCAAATCCTCAATAAAGCTAGAGATTTGAATCAGTTACTGTGCTAGAACACATGAGCTGCATTCAGTGATACTAACACCTATAAAAGAGATTAATATTTTTTGTGGTTTCTACCATAGCTTTTAACTGTAGCATGTATCAAGCAAATGGAAATGAAAGTATGTCATAATGAATATCAGAAGAATTTAAAGGTAAGGGTGGATACCACATGTAGAGGATAATGATATTCATTATGGCATATTTTGTCTGGTGTTCCTCTTGAAAAATAAATAATATGACAAAGAAATTGTTACTAAATGTTTTGTCCCCTTACAATTTATTTTCATTAGATGCTCCTCTCAGTTTCCATGGCTTTTGTCTTGATTTATTTTGAGTCTTGCCCTGATATCTATGACAAAGAATAGAAGAATAGTTTATCTGTCTCATCGTTTCTTGTTCTACAGTTCTGAAATGTCAGCTTGGATTACACTGTCCTAAGGAAAATCTCCTCTTGCTGTTACCACTAAGAACATATAATTGACATTGGGGTGAGAGTGGAGGGAAGTTATATCAGTTATATTTCCGAATAAACAACCCTAGTCTTATAAGCCTGTAGAACTGATCAAATTTGCTAGATAAGCTGCACCTGAGGATAATGACAAGCCTTTTCTGTGTGCGATGTAGTTACTATTGCAAAATAATGAGGCAGCCCACAGAAATCTTTAGAGGGCTGGCATAGCTCAGACATGCTCCTACAGTAAAACTATTACAACAGCAATGTGAGATTTGGTGCCTATTCACTAGAAAATAGAACATATACAAACCATGGATGTGCACGGGCAGGGGGTGTAAAGGCTAAAAGAAAAATTTAGCTCATCCTAATAGGCCTGTGGAAAAATACTGTATTTTCTTATGTACCCCAGGCCCCTAGATAAGAAATTCACTTTGTTTTGGAAGGCGGTATGCAGAAAAAAATATTTTTCTAATCATGGCTTACTGTGTGACACAGAGCATCCATAAAGTGTGGCATCCCAGGAGGCCATCTGGTTGAGGCAGCAGGAACTTCCTGGTGTGGCAGGAGAGCAACAAGGTGAGGCTCCAGCCCCTTGCAAGGGCATGAACAAGACTTATTTTTTTTACTGTAAATCAGGACTGTCCAACATCCTGGGAACCCCCCCTGCCATTGTGTACATGTTCCCCACACCCCACTTCACCATGTGCAGCCCAGGCAGCCCAACTCTACTGTCCCTGACTGCATGCAGAGCATGGGCAACACAAACCCCTCCCTGGCCTCCCTTTCACTATACTGCTCTGGTTCCAGGAGCAGGACTGAAGACAGATGCTGGAAGAAAAAAGGGGAGGCCAGAGCCCCCAGC